TTTTTCTAAATTTTTATTCAAGATTAAGAGGCTTGAATAACGGAAAGCACCTAATATGACGAAAAGTAAGTAAAAAACCTGGTTCATATAGACTCACCCTTCTTGAATTCGGATAGGATTTTAGGCTTTAGGCTGATCTTCTCATTTTTTCATGACACATGCTATTTTGTCAGTTGAACATGTCTGCTCTAATCTAAAATGGCTGAATTCTCTTTGTTCTGTTTTTTTGCTTTTCCAGTTTCATTATAGGCAATGCAATTGGTGCTTGCCGGAGACAAAGTTTAATTAGACACCATTTTTTTCTCCTCAATATACATGTTTCCTGAGCCGGTTTTTCTGCAGGGATCAAGCACAGAGGGTAAACTTCTCGAGCTCACCGCAGTCCATCTTTGTGACAAGCAAAGGGATTCTTCTTGCTCTTTTTGCAATCTTAGTTAGTAGTTTAGCCAGATGACTGGATGGGGGGGCTCTGAGCTTTCCGGAAGCTGCCACGACCATCACTTGTGAAGATGATAGTGTTGGTGTATCTGTACAAGTTTGAAGATCAAGAGTTGAATCAGCGATGCTGTTTTGTTGTTTATGCTTAAGAGTTTTATTCAGCCACTAATATATGTTATGCTGCAGGGCTTGCATTGTAATAGAATATTATTTTCAAGTTGCAGCTGAGTGTACTACTCGATGGATGAATTTGGTGATAAGACAACAACTCTTGTTTGTAATACGAACAAGATTTCCGATTCTATTGCCAACAAGTTGGATAAGGAAATGTCAAGAGAAGAGAGAATGGTTTTCTTTGAAAGTATAGTAGGTCGCTGCTCGCTTAGGCTAGACCTACAAACGTATCGGATATACAACAAATTGAATACCCGAATCTGCTGTTTCATATTGCGGATCCATATCTAAAGAAAATTGAATATTATTGTTAAGTTTCAAATAACCCTCCGAACTCCTATAAGAAAATTACTAGGATAAGATGAAACATTGTCTGACACACTTTCCCTTTGTATAACAAAGACTACACTAATTTCTCAAATTTTTAGGAGTATAAATAAGTTTCTTTTTACCATACTACACAAAACTTGTGTTCTTTTTTTTTTTTTTATTGGGGATTTTATACCTAGTTTTTATTGGTGTTTTTTAACACCAATATCAAAAAGCATCTTAAAACTGAAAACAGTATCAGAAAGCATTTGACATCACCTCCAATTTTAGTTTTGGATTTGGTGTTTTTTGATACCGAGATACAAGCTGGAGATAAAAATAATCTCTTTGCTTAATCGTTTAATTATATTTTTAGGTTTGTAAATCGATTCTAAAGAAATTTAGTCATGAATCTACAATGAGCCTAAATAATTCAATGGGTAAAACCACATTTTTTGACATTGTTACTATCTAATGGTGTATGACCACACCCCCCATATGGTGTAAGCAAGGCTAAGAACGGAGCCCGACCTATTTGTCTAGATCCGAGCCAGGTGAATCATCCTTGCTTGCTTTTAAGGGGATGGATCGAGATCGAGATCGAGGATGTCTATGAAATGAAGATTTCCTTAGCGACCATATATATCTAAAATCCTATTCAAGTGGGATAACGTTTTGAGGGTGTTTTGCTATTTTTGATCAAGATTCTTTGCGATGAACGACCACAATTCGGGCTCATGATTTTCCATCAGATCTGCCTGGAGTTATGCATCATCTCTTTCTTATCTAGTGCAATCACGTAAAACAAGATACCTCCCAACCTGATCTCCAAGATATATATAGTAACTCAGCCTAAGAGTTCCCTTATTTGGATTCTGCATTCGAGAGTAGGACTTTCGTTAATGGTTTTATATTCAGATATTGACAATTGTTGGTTCCTTCCTACTTGTAGATTCACGATACCGATCCCAAAATTGGTAAAAAGAAAAAGAAAAAAAAAGAGTCGACGACAAATTCCAAGTCTTATTCATTCGTTTTCGGGCTTTGAAAGTTAAAAAGCTCTGCGATCAATTCAAATGGTTTCCATCTCGATTCGATCTCCCACTTTTTTAGCACCCGGAAACTCGACCCGACATGGATCCCTTCGTGTCAGGGCTTCTCGCAGCTCCTTCGATGTACTTGTTGTTGGTGGTGGCATCATCGGCTTGACCATTGCCCGCCAACTCCTTATCGCCTCCGATCTATCCGTCGCCGTCCTCGATAAGGCCGTCCCTTGCTCCGGCGCCACCGGTGCCGGTAACCTGACTCTCTACTCGCAAATTCCCATGGATTCTGCAAATACCTGAAATTAATATTTGTTTTTCGCATTCAGGACAGGGATACATATGGATGACACACAAGAAACCAGGCACTGATATATGGGACTTGGCCTTGAGGAGCCATCAACTCTGGCACGACCTTGCACAGACCTTAAACCATCAAGGCCTTGATCCTGAAGAAATGCTCGGTTGGAAAAACACGGGTTTGTTTTTCCTCAATCCACTTGGCTTTCTTTAACATCTTCTCTAGCTGCTTGGGGTTCTTTCTTGGCAATGTTAGTTTCACGAA